TTATATACTGCTCTTACCACACAACAGAAACTAGCAGGCATCATTGGGCTCAGTTGCTGGCTTCCACTTCGGGCTTCATTTCCACAGGTAGCCTGACTGATGCATGCCGTGCTGGTCCTGAACTAAAAGAAGGCCACTTACTGTTGATGTGCTGCCATCACTTTGGCAAGGGCTTCCTTAGACTTTTGTGATGTACTACTAGGCTTTAGGTATACACTGTGATGTCCTGCGTGGGATGCAGAGTGGAATAAGAATCCCTATTCTCCTGAATCTTCTAATTGAAGGATATTGGTAAATTATAGGACACTTAAAGGCAGTTTTAACATACAAATAATATTTTGAATGTTTAATATATTTGATAGAAGTATATTTGCCATATAATATTTCTATTTGTTTAACAGTACAAAATAATGTATAATACTTTGGTATAAGTGGGATATGTGAACTTTTTTAATAAATCATTTTAAAATCTAGGGTTCTTTCTATAAATTAATATATAATATCCTTCAAGTTCCTAATTCATTGGGAAAACATATGAGGCCGAATAGTTCTATATCCTATAAAAATGTAGAAAAAGAGATGTGGGAGTTACATAGTGGGTGCATGAATATCCATGGAGCTCTCCTAGTGGAGTGGATAAAATATTGTGTCACTAACCACAGGGTTGGTGGTTCAAGCCCACCAGTTGCTTCATGGGATAAAGATGAGGCTTTTTTGCTCTTGTAAAGATTTACGTCCCTGGAAACCCTAGGGAGCAGTTTTACTCTGCCTTGTATGGCGGACTGTAAGTAGAAATCAATTCAGGGGCAGTGGATTAGGTGTATATATCCATTTATCATTGTAGTAGCTACTGTAATACTCTGTGGATTTGAATAAATATACTAAATGTTTTTTGTTTTTTTTTGGCAGGGTCCTATTAGTGGTGCTAATAAAGAGATTTCTATTCTCCAATGCCATGGAGATTGTGATCCATTAGTTCCCCTAAGGTTTGGTTCCCTTACAGCGGAAAAGCTAAAAACATTAGTAAATACAGCCAATGTAACTTTCAAGACCTATGAAGGCATGATGCATAGCTCCTGTCAGCAGGTAAATGTTTGGAAGCTTTGCTTATAGAGCCATATCTTCAACTTTCATGTGACTTGTTTTTAGTAGTGAATAGATAGGTACAAAATCTATTTGTCATTTTAGTTTTCTTTACATGTACACAGTTCAGTGACATTTAATATGTTCGTCGTGTTTCATGTGATATTTTAAAAATTAGATAACATTTGACTGGGTTGTTTAAAAGAGCTAATTAATGCATTCATGTTGAATCATATTAGCAAGTCATTAGATCAGTGTTTATTCACTTTAATTCAGTAAATATTTATAGATGCCTTTTTACATTAAGAAGAGGCCCTGGTGCCATGATAGGATAAGTTTTGGTCTGCTGACAGCATGGTCAGTGGTTCAAACACACAGGAGAAAGATGAGACCATCTGTTCCAGTCAAATGAATGTTCACCCTGAGAACCCTATATAGAATAACTGAGCTAGAGTTCACTCAACGGCAGTAAGTTTGAATACTACATGAATTGTATTATCGGTTTTTAAAAATGGTCTGGAAACTGAGAAGAGAATAATTTTATCATAGGAATCATAATGGAAGAATTAGACCTTGGAATATGGGTAGCATTGAGACAACAAGTGTACAGAGAAAGGACTGTAGAAGAGGCACAGCAAGTTAACCAGTACGCCTAGCATCTTTCATGAAAAGCTGGTGCTGTAGAACAGAGAACATAGAGTGGAGACGCTCATTAAGAGTGATGATATGGGGAGGGTGAGTTTCCTCTTTAGGCAGGAGGAAGCCATTAGCTTTGAAAGATGTGATCTACTTTATATTCTCAAGAGAGGTGAAACAAAAGGTGAGAAACAAGAAGGTATCAAAGAGGACTTATGACTGTTTAGCTTAAGACGTTATTCATAAACTCAGTGACGAGGAATGGCTTTAGAATGACGTGAGGGAGATAATACTTTAATGGAGCGGTTGAGATTAATGTACATCTTGATAGCAAAATCAATTGTTGGAACCACTTATTTAAACCTCAAACCTAGAAAGAGATTTGGATCATTATCAATATCAATGAGAATAACTTGAGAAAAAAAGCTGAGAAATGGAATTGTAAGGGATGCCTCCGCTTAGACTAAGGAGAAAAAGGGTGTGAGATGTTGAATGTGGGTATGGATGGCGAGAATTTCACAAGGAGGAGCAGTGACAGATGACTCAGAAAATGAACAAACTGTTTGAAAGAGAGCCAAACTAGAGGAATGTGAAGTGTAAAGGGAATTGGGGGGAGTAGAGGCAACATGCGCAAACCTTTTAGAAAGGGTTTTGGTGAAAGGAAAAGAATAGAAACTTTTTCAAAAGGATGAGTGACTATTCAGAAAATTAAGACAACCCCTTAGTGAGTCTTTTTCATTAAGGAGGAAATCAAGAAAACACTTTCAGATTACTGGACAGAATTGAATGGATGATGTAAGGGACATACCAATTTCTCTGGATGCTCAAAAGGAAAAAAAATAAAGAGGGAATCAAGTGTAATTTAGTAAAGGATGTCTGATGTCTGAGATAGCTTTGAATTAAAATCAAGAAATCTACTTTGGGCAGTGGAATTACAGGAAAATAAATGATAGGGAACTAAATTTACTGGTGATTGACATGTAATGGTGGAAACAGGATAGAACAATAGTTGGAAAATAATGGTTTTGGTGATAGAAATGAAGCTGGAGATAGCATGATAGAATTTTGTGAGATCAACAACTTGTTCACAGCAAATGCCCTTTCAACAACACAAACGGCAGTTCTACACATGGACATCCCCAGATGGAATAGAAAGAAATCAAATTGACTACATCTGTGGCAAGAGACAGTAGGAAGCTCAGTATCAGCAGCAAGACCATGGGCTGACTCTAGAGCAGACCACCAGTTGCTCATATGTAAGTTCAGGTTGCAGCTGAAGAAAAATTTTAAAGTCACACGAGCCAAAGTACAGGCTTGAGTCGATCTCAGCTGAATTTCGAGAACATCTCAAGAACAGATTTGCTGCATTGAACACTCATGAAACAAGATTTGATCCGCTGTGGATGACATCAGGAATATTCATGAAAAATTCAAAAAGTTATTAAAAAGAGAGGGAGGACAAAAAGGTCAAAGTGGATATGACAAAAATTCAGAAACTTGCTCTTAATTGATGAGGCTAAAGTGCCGAACAGGAAATTTCAAAAGGAAACTCCAGAAAGTAAAAACAAAAGTAAAACATTATAATGAAATGTGCAAAAACTTAAAACAAAAAATAAAAAACACTCTGCGTACCTTAAACTGAAAGAACTCAAGTCAGAATTCAGACCTTGAGTTGCAATCTTGAAATAGATTCTGTGGGGAATGAATTATGCAAGAAACATCAAAAGAAGATGGATCGAATAAACAGTCACTGAACCAAAAAGAACTAGTTAACCCACCACTTCAGGAAGCATAGAAGGAAGAACCAGTTGTACAGAAGGAAGAAGTTCAAGCTGCACTGAAAGCCTTAGCCAAAAACAAGCTCCGGGAATTGATGGAATGCCAACTGAAATGTTTCAATAAGCTGATGAAGCACTGAAAGCCATCACTTTTCTATGCCATGGAATTTGGAAAACTTAGCAAACTGACTACAAGGGGGTCCATATTTTACCCATTCCAAAGGAGGTGAGACAACAATTTCTGCTTAAATTATGCGCTTTACACAATTGATGTGTGTAGGGATTGTGATAAGAGTTGTATGCGCCCCTAATGAAATGATTAAAAAATAAATAAAACAAACCATAAACAATAATAAAAAAATTATAGAACAATAACATTACTATCTAGGAGCCTTAATAGCATAGTGGTTACATGTTGGGCTGCTAACTGCAAGGTCAGTAGTTCAAAACCACTAGTAAGAAAGAGGAGGCTTTTTTTTCCCTCCCATCAAGAGTCCTGGAAACACAGGGGCAGTTCTACCCTAATGTAGATGGTCACCATGAGTCAGCATTGACTCAATGGCCATGAGGGAGAGAGATCGTTAATACCACGTGATGTAATATTTTGCTAATGATCGTCCAACAGTGCACCAGTGCATTGACAAGGAACTGCCAGAGGTTATGGCCGGTTTCAGAAGAGGGCATGGAATAAGTGATATCATTGCACGCATCAGATGATCTTGGCTGAAAGTAGATAATACCAGAAAGATGTTTGTTTTTTACTGACTATGCAAAGGCATTCAACTGTGGACCATAACAAACTGGTTAACCTTGAGAAGAATGGGAATTCCAGAACACTCCATTATGCTCTTCAGTACATGGATCAAGAGGCAGTTGTGAAAACAATAAGGAAATAATAACGCATTAAAATTAGGAAAGGTGTGCCCAGGTTGCATCCTCTCACTATACTTGTTCAATCTATGCTGAGCAAATCATCAGAGAAGCTGGGTTCTATGAAGAAGAGTGTGGCATCAGGACTGAAGAAAGTCTTATTAACTGCGTGCCATAATTTAGATACCACAGCCTTGCTCCCTGAAAGTGAGAAGGATTTGAAGCATTTGCTGTTGCTGATGAGGATCAAGGATTGCAGCCTTCAGATAGATTCCCACTCCTTATAGAGAAGACCGGAATCCTCAAAACTGGACCAATGAGTAATTACCATCATGATAATTGGAGAAAAGATTGAAGTATTTAATTTTGCTTAGATCCATAAGTCATGTTCATTAAAGTAATAGTCGAGACAAAATTATGCATTGCGTTATGTAAATCTACTGCCCAAGACCTCTTTAAAGTGTTGAAAAGCAAGGATGTTACTTTGAGGACTAAGGTGTGCCTCACCCAAGCCATAGTGTTTTCATTTGCCTCATCTGAATGTGAGTGTTAGACTTTGAATGAGGAAGACTGAAGAAGAATCGATGTGTTTGAATTATGGTGCCGGCAAAGAATATTAATAATAGCATTTGCCTGCCAAAAGGACAAGCAAATCTGTCTTGGAAGAAGTGCAGTCAGAATGTTCCTTAGAGCCAAGGATGGTGAGATTGCATCACAAGTTCTTTGGACATGTTTTCAAGAGAAACCAGTCCCCGGAGAAGGGTATCATGCTTAGAGGAAGGCCCCGACAGCATGGGTGGACACAATGGCTGCAACAGTGAGCTCAAACAATTTTAAGGATGGCACAGGACCAGGTAGTCTTGTTCTGTTGTGCACGGGGTTGCTATGAATCACAACTGACTCAGTGGCATCTGATAATAATATAAATTTGCCAAGGCACATGAAAGGACGGTTTAAGAGGGGACTTCAAAGTATTTACAGAAAAATAGAATTAAATGATAATGGAATTTTCCATGAATATTTTGAAGCCCTATCACAAGGGGGATAACTCAAGTAACAATTTTCTAGATTTCCTGGAGAATAAAATTTCTTTTAACTTTAAGGAATAGAAGCATGGAAAATATACAGGAATATATTTGAAAGGGTACTGAATTGCAACAATCACAGTGGAAACAATGCTGGTCCTGGAAAATATCACTGAGCAATATGGCTGGAAATTGTTAAAAGGAACCTAATTTGCTGGTTTTTTTTTAAAAAAAGGATGGAAGAAAGGAATGTGTGTGAGGAAACAGGAAGATACAATGATAAGATAGTTCAGAGAGGAAAGTCTGCTCGTGGGCTTATATAAAGAATTGGAAGCCTTCACTTTAAAAGAAAAAGCCCCTTGGAATCAAGATAAAGAGGATGGATGGTGTAGGAACAGGAACTGAAGTTCACATTGGTTGCTCCATATTTTTTTAGGAAAGTAGTGCTCACTGCATCACGTCAGTGCTGACTCAGCGGACCCCCTGTGAGCATCACACGAGTAGAAAGACCAGTCTTCCTCCAGAGGAGATGCTGTGAGCATCACACGAGTAGAAAGACCAGTCTTCCTCCAGAGGAGATGCTGTGCGCATCACACGAGTAGAAAGACCAGTCTTCCTCCAGCAGAGGTGCTGTGAGCATCACACGAGTAGAAAGACCAGTCTTCCTCCAGCAGAGGTGCTGTGAGCGTTACACGAGTAGAAAGACCAGTCTTCCTCCAGCAGAGGTGCTGTGAGCGTTACACGAGTAGAAAGACCAGTCTTCCTCCAGC